ACAGAACACCATCTCGCTAGTTGACATCGTTTCGGGTGGTTTCACGACCCTTCCTAACATAACTTGACCATAAGCTAATCATAACATACCCTAACCATAACCTAACGAAACCTAACCTTCGCACTTCTAGCATTAAAAAATGCTTTACTCGCTACTTGACATTCTTTTGTGCGGCTTCACGACGCTTTCATGCGCTTTAACATCTGATATCGTAATTTTTGTACTTGTAACCGTAAGAAATGCTATATCCAGCTAGTTGGCTGGTTTCATGTGGTTTTATGACGCTTCCTAACCTAACCTTAGCTAACCTACCTTCGCACTTGTATCTACAAAACGTCGTTCTCACTAGATCGCATTGTTTCGTGCACCTTTACAATATTCGCATGATATCACATCTTCTCACTAATTTGCAACACTACAAAACACTGCAGATCACTAGTTGGCATTGTTTCGTGAGGTTTCACAATGCTTTCATGCGTTTCACATCTGCATGATATAACAGTTTCGCACTTGTAACAGCACAAAGTGCAGTATCTCGCTAGTTCACATTGTTTTCTGTGCTTTCACAATACTTCACACTCTTACTTGCAATAAACAGAACACTGTCTCGCTAGCTGACGTCGTTTTGGGTGGTTTCACGACACTTCATAGCATAACCTAACCTAGTCCTAAGGATATTCTAATCATAACCCTAACAATAACATAACCAAACCTAACTTTTGCACTTCTAGCATTAGAAAACGCTTTATTCGCTACTTGAAATCCTTTTGTGCCGTTTTACGACGTTTTCATGCACTTTCACGACATTTGATATTGCACTTTTTGTACTGAAACGCTGTTTCTGGCTAGTTGACATCATTTCGTGTGGTTTCATGATGCTTCTTAACCTAACCTAATCTACCTTCGCACTTGTATCTTTACAAAAGGTTGTATCTCGCTAGTTCACATTATTTCACAATATAACATGACCTAACCTAATCCTAACCATAACATACCCTAACCATAACCTAACCGAACCTAACCTTCGCACTTCTGGCATTAAAGAACCCCAAGTAGGTAATTAAAAATATATATGGCAAGCTTCACCAATATTAGCATCATAGCATTAAATTTGGCTCAAATTGCCCCGCCGCAGTGGTCTAGTGGCTAAGGTACTCGGCTACTGACCCGCAGGGCGCGGGTTCGAATCCTGGCTGCGGCGGCTGCATTTACGATGGAGGCGGAAATGTTGTAGGCCCGTGTGCTCAGATTTGGGTGCACGTTAAAGAACCCCAAGTGGTCTAAATTTCTGGAGCCCTACACTACGGCGTCTCTCATAATCATATAGTGGTTTTGGGACGTTAAACCCCACATATCAATCAATCAATCAATTTGGCTCAAATTGAAATGACACATTGAATTCCATGCAATATTCTTGTGAAAAATTTCATGGGCCTTGGCAGAAAAGCAATCCAACATAGACAACAGTTAGGGGCCTTCAAGTATACACGAAAAGCCGGTCCGTCTGCTTTGCAGCACAAGCAGCTATCTTCGAAGTATGATCATTTTCAATGGCACGCCCATTCACAAAATAAGCGAGCTCTTCATTCTCCACCCATTAACTTCCAAAATGCTTACGAGAAGGTTTATCACATCTCTCGGTTTAATTTGGTTAACGTGAGTGTACAGTGGGCATTGCATGGATGCTTGTGCAAGCGACTTTCTCCGCCTTAGACTGGCACGAAATTTGATAAGGAAACTTTACGATGGCTTTAGCTTTAGGGCACCTACCAGCTGTAATTCTTTGAATGTAGAAGACCTTGGTTTCTGTGTCACAGGTACCGTTAATTAGAGAGGCAATCGCAGGGCTAATTACAAGGGCTGAAGTAGCGGCCCTCTGAACTGCACCACGAAAGCGTGGACAATTTAGAAGTGGTCTAGCAGACACCGGATGTGGTCCAAAGAACGAGTCAGAGCCGAGAATTTATAAACAAAACAAAATTAGGCAGATCAAACAATACACAATCATGCACACTCGGCAATAGTTCAGGACTATATTTCACCAATCAAACAATCGACTACCCAACACAATCAGCTACACTCGAAACAGCGGACACAAACAACAATACGCACTACAATGCAAACACGTGCATCAAACAACCAAGACACTTAAAGGCTAAAGAGTTCGAAAACTTATTCAGTCCAAAGTCCTTGGAACAAAGTCTGTATGATACTCGTCCAAGAATCGCTCACTTAGAGTTCAGCGCTGTTGTCGATTCGCTGTGCCCGATGTTTCTCTTCCAGGAAACCTCGCGCCTTCAACTCGTCGCTCTCCAAGCGCCAAACTTCTTTGCCGGTAATACGTCTGCTTCCCACGCGTTGCAATTGCAGGACGCGTCTTCGCTCTCTGGCGGTAGTCTCACAATATTCTTCTGCTGGTAGCACCAGCTTTCACCTTTCAGACGGAAACCCTCTTCATCACCTGCTTTGTCACTAAGGACTAAAGACTTCGCCGACACGGCGGAATGACCCTACGCACACTTGTGCAAAACTTCCTTCATCTCCTGCCTACGCACACTGGCCTAAACTGGCTTCATCTCCTGCTATGTCACAAAGGACAAGAACCTTTGCCGACACGGCGGAGAGACCTTAGGCACACTGGCGCAAACTTCCTTCATCTCCTGATCTCCCTTCTCCGCTGCTCGCTTAACTACCTTTCGCGCTAGATTCCAGAAAATTCTAATCATTTCGTCGGCGTGATGCACAGCCAAGACTGGGGAAAGGGCGAGACATTTCGAGAGCTGTCTGCGACACGTGACGCAACTCTGCATCACCACACCCCTTTCCTTCGAGATCCTTCCAGGGTTTGCTCGGCGGCCGATGTGAGGAGGTTGGTCGGCGAAACTGCGCTTCCGAGAGGGAGAGGCGGCGCGCCCGGGGAGTCTTTGGATGCTTGTTTTCTTTTTTAGTGTTGACCTTGAGGCGTCTCTCTGGCGCGTGATATCGTCACTGTCACCAGAAATTGGCAGCGCGCTCTTTTTTTGAGCGCTCGTTTGTGACATTTTGTTATCATAAAAATGGAAAGCTCGATGTCAATTTCATCTCTGCCGTACAGTACGCCTTCCAGTCATGCATGTCCCAGTGTGTTCGAGCTCTAACACAGTGCCATGATTTGAAAAGAAAAAGAAAGTCATGTAGTAGCTTTGGTAATTCAGAATTTCTTCATGTTTTCTCACATCCTTCTCAACCTCATGTTAACGTAAATGATGTGCTATCGGCTTACCGGATTTGGCTCATTTTGATCTGTTTGGCGTGCGGATCGGGCTCATTGTCATTTTGAAATGAAATCTGTCACCACACAAAGCTCATTACATTTGACCCACCTCATTCTGATAACTGTTTTAGAGGAAAGTTGAGAGTATGTACGTACCTTATCTGAGCTACTTTCGGTTTCTGGATTTGGCTCATTTCGAAAAATAGATCTTCTTCTGTACACAGTTCCTCTTGCTCCGAATGTGCTCCAAAACAGACTTTTTCTTGTTCGAAACTTGCTCCAAATCCCAAGTAGCTGGACCACGTCTGAGCATGGTAAACAAGGCCTGAGCACGCAGAACCTTGACACACTTCTACACTGCTTGTATCATCTGCTCACGTTCTTTCGCCTACCACGCCTACTGTACATTGTCATTCTCTTTATCGTCAACGTTGTCTGGGCGTGACGATTTTCTTGAGATTTCCACACTTCTCACACGTTCATTGTAGGCATGGTATCACGAGCAGATGCCTAATAGCAGTCTGCTGGTGCAAGTATCGCAAAAAGGCACTGGCATCTATGACATATCAATGTTGCTGTGCCAACTCTGAGCTTGGCTGCAGTTCAGGGAGTTGGGGAGGGCTGTTTTCAGGTACCTAAGGCATGTTGCAGTGCATGCTGCAATGTCACATGCTGCAGTACATAGCCCTCAGCTGTGCATGCGAACTTCAATATTAAAATAAATTACTTCTCAAGTCACCACAGATTTAAATTACTTCATATGCAGTCCAAGTGGCAGTTATACAACCGAAACTCAACAGTTTGTTTTGAGACCTGAAAGATGTTGACAACTTGCTCGGCCCCGTACATAGGCAAAGTATCCCAAGGAACAGTGTGGCAGCTTCCATGAAGATGTCTCTTTTCATCCTGGCAATGAAGTGGTTCTTTGGCACGTGTTCCTGGAGAGTGTGAGAAGCTCTCATGGTGATTCCTTGGACCTTACATAACTGACATCCTCTGTAAACTATCGTGTCACTACTGTGGAAGTTTTTTCGGACCATTGCTGCTGTGCTTCAGAAATAAACCACATTTTGAACCTGAAGCTTTTTATCCGTCTCTACCCAGTCTGAGTCATAGCCAGACTGGTCGCTTCAGTGCATGAGCATTAATCATCTCCTCACCTGTAGATACTGATCATCACCGCTAAAGTCTGAGCAGCAGGGCTCAGGCCCGAAGGTCGATAAAGGAGAGTCTTGCTGCTTGAATGTTGTCTTCACTGTACTCACTGTTGAAATTCGGTTGATGATTTTGCATGTTCGTGCCAATTAATCCTGCAGCAGCAAAATTTTGTTTCAGTGCTCTTTAGAGGAAAACTAAGACGTGTTAATTTCATTCAAGGGCAAGCGAGCACTTGGTGCATCAGTATTATGTAGAAGAGGGCTGCATGAAGGCAAAATGGAGCGACACCTAACAAAAAAAGCTTCTAATGGTAAAGTACAGAAAGTTTGTTCTTTATTTTAGTATCTATTGCATACAGGGTTATGATTATTTAGGCGCTGTTTCTGCACCTATATACACTAACAACTCTTTCACTTTCTTGCAACTTAGGCATTGTGATTGCCCGGCTAAGACCACAGGATGATAACAAAAGATTATTGCCAAGCAGAATGAACCATTATATTATGTCACCCTAAAATTGGGACAGGATTTTCTTGTAGCAGCTTCTACGTTTTAGAATGTCCTCACGAATGAGTTGGCTACATTTCAGGAACTGTCGGTTTCCTTGCCGAGGATCGGAGGATCAATGTGGCGGTGACGAGGGCAAGGCGCCATCTGGCTGTCGTGTGCGACAGCACTACCATGTCGAGGCATGACTTTCTGAAGTCACTCGTCGACTACATTGGCAATGAAGGTGAAGTGCGAAGTGCACGGGAGTACACATCCGGTAAGTGCATGCCCCAGTGTCACAGTTTCCAAGCTCTGACACTGCAAGTCCCTGCGACTGAAAGAGGATGTCTACAGTTAAATAAACATTTGGATTTGCTGAATCCAAATCTTTTTGTGGATAGGTAGAGTTTTCAGTGCCAGATCATAGCAGAATCTTCTCCACTTTTTTAATCTTGGTAACAGTGTCTGACTGAAAGTGCTCTCGATATTTACAATAATAATGATTGATATTAATATTAATAATTATGATTTTGGTAGTTAGAGTTACAAGGCGTGAAAGCCATGCCAGTGTTGCATTGACCATCAGCCTAGTATTCAGTGTTCATAGAAAAGCTATGACAGGGTCCCAATGGTCTTCAGTTTATCCTATTCAGCATGAGACAGTCTTATCTTATGCCTCCGATCTTCCTACTTTCATCACCTTAGCTAACTCTCTCCCATTCTCGACTTTTTGTCTCATCTAATAATACACACTCCGTTGCTCTAATGACAACTTGTCATCTGTCCTACGCATTCTATGACCTGCTCAGATCCATCCCTTTCTTTTACTGTTGACTAAAACATTTGGCACCCCTGCTAGTTCTCCAATCAATTCTGATATCACAATGTTGTGTCCATCATTTTCCATTCCATCGTTCTTTGTGTAATCCTCAACTTCTCAAGTTTCTATGTTATCCCCGAAGTTTTTAGTATACTATAAGTGTCACGCAGTTTATTTACGTACAGACCTACTGGAAGGCCAAGGAACGCCAGAAGAGCGAGGAACGCCAACAGGTCGAAAATACAAAACAAACGCAAGCTCGGGTCGCGCGCGTGGACCAACGCTGTGGCTTGCCGTTTCATGCTGCTTCGTCGTCGTTCGCATAGTTCCCTACATTGGCCCCCAGTGAATAGCGTAGCCAACCTGGCGACTTAAGGCGTAGTCACTATAGCGGGGTCGTAATACGGCTTCATGCGACTCACATGCACAATTTCTCGGCCACGACGGCGTAAGTCATGAGACTGTGTCAAAGGCTCAATCTCATAATTGACTGGTGACGTACGGGCGAGAATGCGGTAGGGCCTGTGGTATCGTGCCAGTAATTTCGACGAAAGGCCAGGAGTGCTCGGTGGAATCCAGAGCCAAACGAGAGCACCAGTCGTGAAAGTAGAGAGATGTCGGTCGGTGTCATGCCGTAGCTCCTGGTGGCCTTGGTCCTCGGTTGTGAGTGAACGGGCCAATCGTCTGCAATCTTCTGCGTACCTGGCAACATCAGAAATTGCAGTGTACTCAGAGGAGTCGGGCCTGTATGGGAGGATAGTGTCCAGCGTGCATGATGGTTCGCGTCCGTACAACAGAAAGAAAGGGGAGAACCCTGTTGTCGCGTGCGTAGCGGTGTTATACGCATACGTGACGAATGGAAGGACAGTGTCCCAATTGGTCTGGTCTGAAGCTGTGTACATCGTCAACATATCACCGATAGTGCGGTTAAATCGTTCTGTGAGGCCATTCGTCTGCGGGTGATATGCTGTCGTCATGCGATGAACCATGTTGCATTGAGCGAGCAACGCTTGAATGGCGTCAGACTAGAAAACACGCCCCCGGTCGCTCAAAAGTTCGCGGGAAGCACCATGGCGAAGAACAAAGTTGCGCAGGATGAAAAACGCAACTTCCCTCGCGGTTGCTGAGGGTAGTGCTGCCGTCTCCGCGTAACGCATGAGGTGGTCCTCGCCAACAATTATCCACCTATTTCCAGAAGACGACGTGGGAAGTGGTCCGTATAAGTCAATACCGACGCGGTCAAACGGACGCGCTGGACAAGGCAGAGGCTGAAGTGTACCGGCAGGGCGTTGAGGTGGGACTTTACGTCGCTGGCATGCAGTACAAGCACGTACGTACTTGCGGACAAATGTGTACATGCCGCACCAGTAGTACCACTGATGTAGACGGTTGTACGTTTTGAGAGCGCCAGCGTGAGCGCTTTGCGGGTCGTTGTGGAAAGGAGTACAGATTTCCGAGCGCATGTGGTTGGGTATCACTAACAGCCACCTCCGACCTTCAGACGTGTAATTCCGCCGATAGAGTAGGTCGTCTCGAATAGCGAAATGTGTGGCTTGACGGCGGATAGTTTTTGAGACCAAATTAGGTAACGGATCAGTCAGAAAGGCGAGGAGTTGGGAAATTCACACATCTTTGCGTTGTTCCGATGCCATGTCTGTGAAGTCGATTGGTGTTATGACAGCTGAAGAAGGTGACGAGGAGGTTGGGTCAGCCGGTAGCGACGAGCGGGATAGCGCATCAGCGTCGGAGTGCTTGCAGCCGGATCGGTATACAACACGAATGTCGTATTCCTGTAGGTGAAGCGCCCAACGACCAAGGCGCCCCGACGGGTCTTTGAGCGATGATAGCCAGCATAGAGCGTGGTGGTCCGTGACAACTTCGAAAGGGCGGCCATAAAGGTATGGGCAAAACTTCGTCAAAGCCCAGACAATTGCGAGGCACTCTTTCTCCGTGACGGAATAATTACACTCGTCTTTCTTGAGGGTTCGACTCGCGTAAGCGACCACGTATTCTTGGTACCCTGGTTTTCGTTGAGCCAATACAGCACCAAGACCGACACCACTGGCGTCGGTGTGGACCTCCGTAGGCGCATCAGAGTCAAAATGACGTAGTATTGGAGGTGATAGTAATAACCGCCGAATCGCGGTGAAGGATTCGTCGCACTCTTTTGACCAAGCAGAAATGCCTTTGGAAGTTGTCAACAGGTTGGTAAGAGGCGCGATGATGGAAGAGAAGTTGCGCAAAATCGACGAAAGTATGAGCACAGGCCGATAAAACTTCGAAGCGTCTTGATGGAATTGGGCTTCGGATAGTCGGCCACGGCGCGGAGTTTCCCCGGATCCGGGAGAACACCCTCTTTGCAGACGACGTGACCCAGTATAGTGAGCTGACGTGCGGCAAAATGGCACTTTTTGATGTTAAGTTGAAGGCCAGCAGAGGTGAGACACGTGAGAATAGCACGAAGACGAACAAGGTGAGTTGAAAAGTCGCGAGAAAAAACGACGATGTCGTCTAGGTAGCAAAGGCACGTGTTCCACTTGTAGCCGCGAAAGATGGTGTCCATCATCCGTTCGAAGGTAGCTGGGGCGTTGCAGAGTCCAAACGTCATGATGTTAAACTCATACAGCCCATCAGGTGTTAAAAATGCAGTCTTCGATCGGTCAGGATCAGCCATTGGAACTTGCCAATAACCTGAGCGTAAATCTAAAGAGGAGAAATATTCTGCCCCTTGCAAGCAATCGAGAGCGTCGTCGATGCGTGGCAACGGGTACACATCCTTTTGAGTTATCTTATTAAGGCGGCGGTAGTCGACACAGAATCGGATAGACCCATCCTTTTTGCGCACAAGTACAACAGGGGATGACCAAGGGCTATGCGATGGCTGGATGACACCACACTTGAGCCTATCGTCGACTTGTTCGTTGATAATACGGCGCTCTTCCGCTGAAACTAGATATGGTCGTTGGCGTAAGGGAGCATGAGTACCGGTGTCAATGTGGCACATGATGTTCGCTGTGCGACCCAAAGATGGTTGAGCACAATCGAAGGCAGAACGGAACTCTCGAAGAAGGGACAAGAGTTCCCTTCTTTGTGTCGGCGATAGATCAGCGGCAACAGAGGGATGGAATGAGTCTGGCGCGGGCAGTGTGGCCACAGGTGGCGTCATAGCATTGAACTGTAGGTGAGGTGCGTGTTCGGCGAACTCTAGAGGGCGCAAGAGGTCAACGTCTTGTATGTTACCCAAACATTCTCCGCGAAGTAAGGTAACTGGCGACGATAGCGAGTTCGCGACGAGCACGGCGGTAGCACCGGATTCCACGGTGAGTACGGCAAAGGGCAGGTGTAGGCTACGGTGGCGGGTAAATACATCAGATGGAGTGAACAAAACAGTTCCGGCAGGAGCGGCCGTACAGGTCAGGGCTACAAGGGTGGATGTTCTCGGTGCTATTTTCGTGTCTGCAACAACGACAAGTTTGTAAGGTTCAGAAAGAGATTCCACCAAACAAGAGGTTGGCAGCGGTGTAAGGGCAACTTCTGCACGTGAGCAATCTATGATGGCCTGATGACGTGAAAGAAAGTCCCATCCAAGAATGACTTCGTGGGAGCAGGATGCCAGCACAAAAAATTCAATGGCATAAAGTTCACCTTGGATAATGACACCTGCAGTGCACACAGCTGTAGGTTCTATGCACTGCGAGTTGGCCGTGTGGAGCATCAGGCCCGAAAGAGGCGTCGTCACCTTTTTCAACTTGCGGCATAAGGTCTCACAGATTATGGAAACGGCAGCCCCTGTGTCGATAAGCGCTTGTGCGGCGGTCCCCTCAACATTGACATCAATAACGTTTTGCGGCGAGAAAGATGGAGGCCTTAAGCAGTTCGAATTGTATGCAGCTGTTGCCTCCGAAGCTGCAGCGATCAGTTTCCCTCTTCCGTAGCAGGTCGGCGACGCATAGGTGACAGGGAGCGTCGTCGGGGCGATGGTGACTGATGGTTTGCGTAGGGTCGATGACCGTCAGTGGTGTACCTTGATGGCGTCCTAGACGACGACGCCATTGGCCTGCCCACGGTGTCGACTGGAGGGGGATTCGGCGACAGTGGCGGGCGACGTGTCCAGCGATACCACAGACAAAACAGATGGGCCTATTATCCGGCGTTCTCCAAGCGTCTGAGCGACGGTAAAATGGAGCTGAAGATCTCGCGTAGGGATACGGCGCAGCAATTGGGGTTGTAGGCACGACATAGGGTGGCGTGGCAGGTTGAGCATATGGCATACGCTGTTGCGTAGGCCGAGCAGCGACGGCGGCGTACGTGAGAGGCGTTGTGACTGGTGGTTGCTGATGCACCGGCGGAAGGGCTTCAGCGACTTGGGTCCGAATGACGTGTTGGAGGTCCGGTGCCAAAGCTTGCGTGGGCTCATGTGTCAGTGGCATCAGTGACAGCTGGCCCGCTACCTCTTCGCGGACGAAGTCCTTGATTGTCGAAAGCAGCGGCTGCTGATCGGTAGGATGAGCAGCTAGGTGCAAGCTTGCGAGCGTGTCTGGCGTCGTGAGGGCTTGACGAGCAATGACGCGCTGCCTACGCAATTCATCGAAGCTTTGACAGAGGGAAACGAGGACAGCAATTGTGGGGGGATTTCTCGCGAGCAACATCTGAAAGGCGCCGTCGTCAATGCCTTTCAATATGTGCCTGATTTTTTTCTTCCTCAGGCATGGTAGAGTTGATGCGGTTGCATAGATGCAACACATCTTCAATGTAGCCTGTGTAGGTCTCGCCTGGTTGCTGCGCACGGTGACGTAAACGGTGCTCGGCTTGAAGCTTGCGTGCCGCAGGTCGTCCAAAGACGTCCGTAATAGCCGTCTTTAATGCAGACCACGTAGTAATGTCAGCTGCGTGGTTATTAAACCACAGTTGCGCGGTGTCCGCAAGGTAGAATGTGACGTAGCCCAGCTTACTTGGGTCGTCCCATTTGTTACTTGCGCCGACTTTGTCGTACCTCGCCAACCAATCTTCGACGTCCGACTCAGTGGAGCTCGTGAAGATAGGAGGGTCTCGTTGAGGATACACGGCACCGCAAGTGACATGGACGGTCGAAGGTCCCACCTGGAGAGGCGTCTCGGTGGCCATGTTCGTGTCACGTAGATGGAGAAGCGTACGGGAGCGAAGTTCCAGGTTTGTACGGGAGTCCACACACCTCCACCAGATGTCACGCAGTTTATTTACGTACAGACCTACTGTAAGGCCGAGGAACGCCAGAAGAGCGAGGAACGCCAACAGGCCGAAAATACAAAACAAACGCAAGCTCGGGTCGCACGCGTGCACCAACGCTGTGGCTTGCCGTTTCATGCTGCTTGGTCGTCGTTCGCATAGTTCCCTACATAAGGAAAATGGGAGGTTCTGCCAAGCCAGCTGTGCCTGCTACACACAGAGCCATCTCGCAGTAACGCACCAGTTGTCAGCAAACGCACTTCAACACGTTCTCTCTCTCCATGGGGTGCCTTTTGCGGCCTTCTCCGTGTAAAGATCAAACACTTTTCTTTGAAACGTTGGCTCTGGTGACATTCTTTGCTGGTGACTTTTTTCATTACTCGTGTAAAGGAGGATGGAGCCCAGTGCACACTGGAGGCATTCCCAAATCATGACTGGCAGCTTACTGCTGTTTCTAAAATGAAATGTGCACAATTGTTCTGCCAAAGCTGTCATTATGTCTGTATTAATTGAATTGGCTTTGTGTAAATCGGCTAGATTGAGAAAGTTATATTTACGAAAAAATGCTGTTTATCTGAATATAGGCAAGCTTTATAAGAGACTAGTTCTGGTGCCTGGTCTTTAAAAAAATGTTATGCGTGTAGTATTAAACTAGGATAGTACACTGTTGCACAACATTGCCTTTTCAGCACTTGTTAACTGATTGTGGGTTGAAGTGTTTTGTTCGTAGAGGTGGTGTGCTCGTGTACTGATTTCAGAGTGCATATTTGAAATGTTCAGGTGGCCAAAATTACCTCGTAATGAAAATCAAAAAATTAATTAATCAACGAATTTTTCGGTGCAGACCTAGAGCTGTGCTCATCCACACTAAGGCCTACCAGCTTGCGGGAGAGAGAAGTGAACAAGCCAGCCAACAAGCTCAAGTCAAGGTTACAGCAGCAGCCATCGCAAAAATCTCAAAATGTTCACGACATAGTTTCGAGGCAAGCCTGCCAGCAAAAAGGTGCTCAACGCTCTCAAAGGACCATGGAGTGAGTTTTACATCAACTATGCTATTATTATGCAAAACTACATACATTAAAAACTACATATAAAGCTTTGTGTGCACGTTTCTTTTCTGCTTTTCTAGTGATGCATTAGTTGCCTCATAAAAAAACAGAAAGTCTGGCTAGTTGGTTACTATCATTCAGTTTCAAAGAATTTTATAAGCCAAGGAAATGCACTGATGGTTCGTCTATGCTATATTTTTGTGTGTGCGCGCTTTGAGTTTGTGCTGAAGGATGTTTCAAGATGAACAAGTTCTCTCAAAAGGTATAGTTTCAGTGTTTTTACGGAACTCTTGTTTGTGGCACTTGACCCTGCTTCTCCTCAACTTGCTTCTGCTGCCATTCATCAACATCAAAGAAAAATTGAGCCAGCTCCGCTTGGCAGTCACTGATATAAGAGCAAAGCTGATGGCTTACAAAGCAGTCTTTGCTTTGCCAATTTTTTCATATGGTTGAAGGAAGTGGCGGGAGTAGTTAGTAGCTGGAGTGGCATGTATCTTCTTGCGGCGCATAACGATGGCTCCCAGCCGCAGGAGGCTCCACTAAGAACAGCCTTGCTGTTAAAATGACAGGATGTCAACAGCTGACCCTAGCTAGTCAGTGGAAAACATCTGTGTTTGGCTGCAGGTACCATCACACAGAGAATGAAATATGGTTTCCAAAAGATGGTGTGAACATGCAAAGGAGCGATGAGACCGCAATGAGCATGTAAAGCCATGTGGTTCGTGAAATGCCCCTTTACTGTGGTTCGGCCAGATTGGTTGATGTTTAAATATCCGATCAATAGAACATAAGAACTGCTCTTTGTTGCATGGCACCCCATTTTTCGCCCAAACCAAATAACATTCTTCATTAAGGCACTGAACACCCCCTTCAAAAATGTGGCACAGCTACAGTAATCTGCATGATTATGCACACTTAATAAAAAGTGCTGTCATTGTGAGAGCGTTATGAAAGACGGACATGAAATAGATTTCACAGTGCACGTGCAACCTTGACATGTGTACAAGAACAATTTTTCTTACATTCTTTTTCTCTGTGTAGAAACATAAAAATAATTAGTACCTCGTGGCTTTGAGGTCATTGTTGCTTTTCTCAATTACTTTTCCCACCATGGTATAGTACAGCTGGAAATCCTTGTGTGCCATATTTGGCTCCACAGTCATGTCAGTGATCAAATATGTGATGTGATTAGGCTTGTGCGAATATTTGAATGCTTTGAACGAATAGTAGAGTATTCGAATTTAAATTATCAAATATCTTGAACTATTCAACATGAACGAATAGCACCTACTCAGGGGAAATTTGCTCTGCCACGAATGTCAACCATAAATTTAAAGGGGCCCTGCAACACTTTTTGAGCATGGTCTGAAAATGCTGCCGATCGGTAGTTGAGGCTATTGAGACCACGTTAGCTAAATGTTATAGCTAACGTGACCTGGAGTTCAGAATAAATTCTCATAGTCGGATAAATATTGCTCTCTTCTGTCAACAAATCACGCCTCAATGTCAAAAATCGCTCGTCACTGCCATTTTACCAGCCATTGATTGATCTGAGCATGGGGCACTTGGTCGTTACTGGGGCCGCTGCGAGTGACCGCGACCTGTCTCGCGCACATGCACGATCGCACTAAATAAACCGCATATTGAAAGAAAAAAAAAAGAGAGAAAGTGTGCTCAAGGTCACGCCACGTACATGATGTATTTTCTTTCCCTACGCCATCTCTTCCGGCTTTGCTTCAAGTGCTTTCGTCAGGACGAGAAGAGAGAATGCAATAGCAGCATGTGGCAAATCTTTGCGACTCCACTCATAGTGGACAGATTCTAAAAAGTTTTGTGGCGGTTATTTCAAAAGGCGATAACCTTCTTTAGTGAGCCCAGGGTCCCTTTGAGTGAACATATTATCATCAAATCCATTGTTCATTTTTTAAAGTTAAAGCATGTTTTGCCAGCTAATACACTCTAGCTGTAATTAATAATGTTATGTATTTTACAGGTTATCACTTGTATCCTACTGAAAGCCAAATCCTGCTACTTCTCAAAGTTGTTCTGATCCGAGTTTCTTCGAATGGAAAAAAAGTAAAAAAAGCTCTTACATAGAGGCCTTAATTTAAAAAAAAAAGATGTTGTGCAGGTTATTTATGTCATGATAAATATGCCCATTTTTCTTTATACATCATATATTCTATTCGAATTCGATTCGAAATTATTCGACCAGAGTCACTATTCACTTCCAACCGAAAGTTCACATTTCGCACAAGCTTAGATATGATGCCATCCGTGTTTTGCTACAGAATACAAATACAAACGAAGCACAGCCTCTGAGATCTTACAACACAGCTCTGTTGTGTGGGACTTAGGTTGTGGTGGCAGGTTTCATGACACTTCATGAAAGTCTCCGGTGGCGGCAACAGTAACTGGCATTTTTTGTTACATTATTTTGTTACGTTTAGTCGAAGCCATACAAAGAACAGCAATTTCACTGTTAATTATTAGGAATAAGACATAAAAATTTGGGCACCTTTCCTCTTATAGCATGTGGGTAGCAAGAGAAAAAAGAGTGATGAGGATGAGGCAACACAAACAATTACTTATCACCAAAAGTTCGCAATTTGTATGTATATATGGTAAAATGCGAGCACTCTCTAATCAACATGAAGTGGCACAGACGGCCTCACAATGTTAATCACGGTAAAAATCATCGAACTACGACACTTCAGGTCGATGCAACCGAGGTACTTATTTTTATGCGGCACAGTGACGATAAAGCTTTTCACATCCTTTTTCATAACTATGTGTGGTTTGTAATGATGAAATTACAGTCACTGCTGATGCCTTATTGTTGTAATAATTTATTTCTTGTCAATCAAGTCAAGTCAATTTTAGTCAGCTGCTTTGCATACAATGTAACATCATTAATGATGAGCGTTCGGAGGTCCCATAGTTACAAGAACTGATGGAGGGGGGCCTCCTATTACTAGAACATATGTATGTCAAAATTTGTGGGCATCATGAGAGAAAAATACGTGTATAATTTTTACAGAAAAGCTATAAGAGCTATATAAAAAATGGAAAGCAAAAAATGAATGAAAAATGAAAGCAACAAACAACAACAAAATCTGGCATAGTATATAAAGCCATGAATGTAAAATAGTTTGTCTACGCTAAAAAACAAAACTCAAGGTTCCATTGGAAATCTTCATGACACCAGTGTCATGAATTCATGAAATAAAGTGAGCACAATAAGGTTTCACACAACAGCATTATTTACAAAAATGAATACCAAACAATATGAAAATTGTAGCTGTGAAACAAAAGCAAGATGAAATTGTGAAAAAAAGAAAAAATGAATTATTCAGCTGTAATCATAGCGAATCAAATATGCGCAATGTCAAAAATAAGAGAACAAAAATCGTAATAAAGATAAAGAAATAAAAATGGGAGATTTCTAGGTTAGCATACCTGCTTGCATAATTGGTTGAGACTGTATTTTTTGTGAAGGCGTCGAAATGTGAATAAGCGAATAATGTGCAGAGAAGGAAGCAGTTATCATGTTATTGTTGCAGTTAGAAAGTTATTGTTGGAGTTAGAAATGCATGTTGAAAATGGTGACTTTGCCTTGACACCAGATGGACTGAATTCCACAAATTAGTGATAAAATAGAATCCAATAATGCAAAGGGAAAATGTACGTTATTTTATGGAGTGGAATTTCATGTGTCGTCATAAAGGTTCTGGCATACCGTATTGTACGTTTTTCATACATATTAATGTACAGGTGGTCTAGTGTGAAAGATGTTTTGTGCTTGACTGCATACAAGGGCAGCTTCAGCTTCAAGTTGTGTGCAAGAAACTGTGCTGAACAATGACACCCCTGCCTAGCAACCACCTGGAACAGCTGCACCTAGCTCGTCCAACATAATAGTAGTTTATCCAGCATGCATCGACCTTCTGCTTTGCTCCCCGAACACTGGTACCGGCATGCACTCTCCAGCTGTGCTGATTGCCAATGTGGAATGCAATAACCTGGATGGGGGAGGGAATGAGGAAAAAGAAATAAAAACGGGTAGAAAAAGATCCGGTCTTTTTCTATTTAATAATTCCCATTTTCCTTTCTTTTTCTACCCGTTTTTCTACCTATTTCTTCGTCGGTCTGACCGACACAAAGAGAGAGAAAAATACGCTGGGCGGCTCCACTGCTGTAAAACCCCTGATGAAGTGATTGAAATTAAGTACTCCGACATAACGCAACAAAATATAACAACAAACTGTGCAAACCTTCTGCCACCTATGCGGGCGCATCCTCAGTATGCACTGGTACCATATGAGCAGAGGCTGCACACTCCACTGCTAGTCTCGTATGTCTGTACACATCCGGTAGGGGGCCACAGTTGTTGCATGCCGCCTTGTCACAACAGACGAACCGCAATTCGGGAAGCTTTCTCTTCCCCCACTTTTGTTTCTGAGTCAGCATCATCGCATTACTGAAGTCAAAGTTATGTCTTGTGGTCCAGCAATGCTCAATGGGTTTTGTCTTGGAATGCGTGGCTTCGGTGGCTCTTGCGACATCCTTTTTGTGCTTCAAGCCTCATTGAGCGCTTTTTGCCTATTTCGCAGATGTATGTAGCATCGCAGTCACCGCACGGTACCTTGTAGACTACCCCGCTTTGATCTTTCGCAGGGGTACGGTCTTTGAGCTTGGTGAACAGGTTTCCCAAGGGACAATGAGGCTTGAAAAAGGTTTCAATGCCCAGCGAACAGAGTGCTCTCTTAACAGAGTCTGGCACTCCCTGAATGTAAGGAATGGAAACAACGCATGTAGTATTTCTCATAACACACTCTTTGTTCTTTTTCGCATTTTATTCTGAGTGTTGATAAACGTCCTTGGATAATGGCTTTGTTCGAATGCACCAACACCACATGTTGTAGTAAGACGGTAAGGGGCCTGTTGGTTAGGATTCACCGTGAACGTATTTATAATGCAAC